ACTCAAGTCAACCTAATCAATCCAATATTTTAGGCTGGGTTGAACTTAAGTCAACCTAATCCAATATTCAACTATGGGTTTAACTTAAGTCAACCTAATCCAATATTTTACGATGGGTTGAACTGTAGTTCATTATTTAATAAAACTTACTAAAGTTAAAAAAAACTTTACAACCCGAGCCATGTCTAAAAAATGCCTAAATCCGATACAATTTTACTCACGAACACACTTAATGTACGTTTTTTCAATTTGAGCCCGAATTAACGAAGCTTTTCGTAAAAAATTGACGGGTATTTTGTATAATGTATTTAAACTAACCCATTAAATGCAAGAATTAAGAACACAAAAGGAAAGAAAGAAAGAGAGTTACTGGGTGGAGAGGTTTGAGTTGGGTGAGGGCTTCCAGGTATCATCTCAGCATAGCTAAACTGATGGGAAGGGGAGGCTTTGGCCAACTCCTTCTCCTCCTCCTCTCTTCCATATTCCATTCCCAATTTTCCTCTCAATTCTGCCACTGTGTTGTTCTTTTTCATTCTTGATATCTTGCAACTCAAATTCTTTAGAAAGAATTTTCGGTCTCTCTTCGTACGTCTACAAATTCGTAAATTTCATACAAACATTAGCTCGGGGGTGGTGTTCTTTCTTCTTTTTTTTTTTTTTTCCTTAAAATTTAAGGTTAAAATTGATGTAATGGGACGAGTTTACGGGTCGAGTAACGACAAGAGAAGGACTAAAATAAGATGAATTGGGTCGAGATTCACCTGTCGAGGATGACCCAAGTTGGTTTATAACTCGTAGCAGCTTCGAGAGCGACTTTCTTTGCGGAAGGCCCAGCATGAACTTCCACCTTGAATCTTATCTAACAAATTTACAACAAAATAGGCTCAATATTTTAAATAATGAAGAGACAAAACAAAAAATGAGCATAACTCAACTAATATAAATACTGTACTCTCAACTAAAAGGCTTGAAGTTTGAATCTTCTTATTTTTATAGTGTGTTAAAAAGAAGCTTTCGAGATGGATCGGGATTGGTCATTTAAATTAAAGTTTACGGACCTTTTTGAGTTCACAAAGTTGCAAAATTTCAAGCATCCGTTCATTGTTAGTGTATTCTTCCAATTTCCTTGCGCTTTCCTTCGCTATCAAGTTGTCGTTGAGCCCTATCATAGAGTTTGAGTCCACTCGCTGCTTGTGTCCCACTGGTGAAAACGAACAAAAAACGACGTTCGTTTTAGTAGAATAATGACTTAGATATCATTTTGGTTGATATATTTTTTGTTATACTCGACTCCTCCAAAAGGAAAGATGTTCAAATTCTCGTATTCTTCGTTGACCTAAAATAACAAAGAAAAATCTTGTTCGTTCTAGTCTCAGAGCTTTCAAAAGGTTAGTTTGGGTCCCCGTAATTTAAAAAAAATTGACTAATTTGATTCTTATTCAAAGGTTTCAAACACAATTTTTGTGCACGACAAAAACCATATTCCCAGATGTCTCGAGAACGAAGACGGAGCATAGACAGATTTCTCCTCATCCATTAAATTTGGTCATAGATAAGGATTATCTTCCCCGACCCACCTCGCCCCAATTCCTACCACGCCTCACTTATATACACACATATATGTATATATATATATATGGCAATCTAATTCCTACAAATTCCACTCGGGTAATCTCGATTATATTTTCCGACCCACATCACCCCAATTCCTACCAAGCCTCAATTTTATATATATGTATAAAATAAATTATGGCAATCCAATCCTCACAAATTCCATGCGGGTAATCTCGATTTTCCCGACCCACATCGCCCTAATTCCTACCACGCCTCACTTATATATATATAAAATAAACTATGGCAATCAAATCCCCACAAATTCCACTCGGGTAATCTCGATTTTATTCCCCGACCCATCCCACCTCAATTCCTACCACGACTCACTTATATATATAAAATAAGAATTTTGCAGGAATGGAAAATGAAATATGAGGTAGGGACAGGAACAAAGGCTTCTTAGTCTCTACCTGTCCCGTGAACATCTCTAATCGTATCTTCAAATTTAATCGGTATATTTATCCAAATCCACCGTAAAAAGTAAAAAAGTAAAAAAAAAAAAAAAAAAAAAAAAAAAAGA